CGTGGAGGCAGTGGCCCGAAGAAAGGTGTACAATAGCAACAGTGACCAAAAGTGATGGGCGTGTCGTGGCGACAGGGGCCCAAAAGATGGGTGTGTCGTGGAGGCAGTGACCCAAAGAAAGGTGTACCAAGGCGGTAGTGACCAAAAGTGATGGTCGTGTCGTGGCGAAAGGGGCCCGAAAGATGTGTACCAAGGCGGCAGTGACCCAGAGACAATGGTGATTCTCACTAGGGAGAATCACCCAAGTGCAAATGCAAATGCGAAGGCAAACACATATGGTGCGACATGCAAGCAGGAAAACATGTGATATAATGCAAAAGCAGACAAAAATGTAGGTGATCGGTCGACAGGGCCGTGGTGGTCGGTCGAACCAAAGTGATAAGCTCACCGAGCCGGAGCGGCCTATCGGAGCGAAGTGAAATGCTCGCCGGACCGGGGCTGCTGATCGGGGCAAAGTGAGAGGCTCACCGGGCCGGGGCGGCCGGTTGGAGCGAAGTGAAATGCAACATGCATCAAGCGAAAAATACAATATATAACAAACAAACATGCAGATAGTAAATCGGGCTCGTGCTAACGACCTCACCTGGGAGACTTAAGGTTTAGACCCTTGGATGTGCGGCACCGCCGCCTCTCGCTTTGGTGAGAAAATGTGGGGGTTCTCTCCCCGGATCTCCAAGGGGTAAACTCTCCACGGTGTCGCGAAATGGACTAGCTACAAATCTTTTCCCATTTCGTGAACTACTCCAAACTTTGCAAAGCAAGCAAGCTACAAAGCTCATCTCTCTTTGCCAATTCCGACCTCCCAACTTCTCCAAGTAAAGCTGAGGAATCCAAAGCAAGGGGAGTGAGGGACTCCGACCCATTGAGACTTGTGCTAAGGCTCACAACAAGAAGGGAGACACTCGACTCTACGGGGGGTATTTGGCCACGCACAGGAAGTCCTAACGTAAAGGCTAGCTCTGGGAAAACCAACCATCCATCACACAGGCACGTCGTTGCGTTGACCCACGCCGGCGCACGCACCACATATGGGCAATCAAACCCACACGCCTAGACTCCACTATTCCTAAGGCTAGCTAGGAGGTAGAAAGTCTCACGACCGTGATGGTTGCATACACGTTTCTTTGCTTGCTCCAAACTCTCCGGCGCCTGATCCATGCTCCAATGTGCCTAGTAAAATGTGCACAGGACAACAAAAAGACATAGGAGATTGTGAGAGCAAGAGGTATGTGAAGTACCAAAAATAAATAATTTAGCATATAAAAATATGCGACCCAAAAAAAAGGTACCTTCGCGAGAGAGGATTGCTCGACGACGGTGAAAGAGGAGAAGTCTTCCTCGAAGCGGAAAAGACGTCCACACCTCTCCAAGGCGATATACCACCGCTGCCCGATGACATCGAGGTGCTCCGACGAAGTGTCCGGTCGCCGGGAAATGAGGGTCGACGAGGTGGAAGAACTAACTCGCCGGTGGAATGCAAAAAGAAATGCGAGGGGAGAAGTTTAAGCTTTGCCCCATTTTCTGCGAGCGAAGGAAATAAAGGGTGGCTAAAGCACGCCAGCGGGAGGTCTGCACGCCGGAGGAGGCTTTGCCGGCGGAGAGGGAGGCCGAGAAGAGGGGGTGGACGGCCGGCGGCATTAAGGATAACGCCGACCAAGAAGAAGAAAGAGCAGGATAAATGTTTGGCCGGCTGCTGGAGGAGCTTCGGAGAACGGAGGGGAGCCAGTGGCGAGGAGCTTCGCCGACGAGGAGGAGCTCCAGCATCGGACGCGAGGAGGCTGGGTATGCTTCGCGGACCGGAGAGGGAGCGGGCAGGTTCGCGAAATAAACAAAGAAGGAGCACCGCCGTGGAGGGAGGACACGCCGGCAAGCTCGCCGGTGGTGTCGCCGGCCATGGATCGGAGGCGAGATCCACCAAAATGAGGTTGGCGGCGCTGGAGGCTAGGGTTCGCGTGCGGAGGGAGGAGCCTGCGATCGGATAGGATAAGGGGGAGAGAGGGTGTGCGTTAGTTTTAGATAGCTGTTATGAATTTTTTGGCTGGTCTCAACTCTCAATATAAAGGTTTCAAATCAAAGATTATATCTGATCTTGGAGTTAAGAAAAGCCTATACTAGAGTTTACGTACTACTCCAAGTTCATCCATACAACAACCTAGTGTTGTTAGGGTAGTATGTTACTTAGTAGTGAAGCATAAATAATATTGTACTAAATTAAGAATTCTCAAAATACATCATCCATAAAATTGCAAACATTAGTAAACCTCAGTCTTAAGGCAATGATAGAAGTGAAACTCTGAATTCTAGAAATCAAGGCTCGAGGGTAGTATACTACTACTGTCATGAAACTGGTTATAAGAAGAGAATGTGTCAGA